CCCCACAAGCAACTTCTCCATTTACAGAGCCCAACAGCCTTACATGCTTGCTGGCCCAGCTCACTGGTTTTATATTACAAATGAAGCTAGGAAGTCTAGAGACATAAGTGCAGCCAGTGTACGTAAATACATTAAGTAAAATAGAAAAGTTCCGGCTTCCATTGTCTCTATAAACACGGGTTTCCGTTTTCAGAGGTAGCCACGATTTAGTGGCAGCTTGGGTTGTATTCCAGACATGTTCTGTGAACCTGAAATCGCGCATGTGCACATAGTAAGAGTTAAGCAGATTCCTTGATTCTGCCCAGGGTGCCTCCCAGAAGCACCTGTCCCTGGAGAACCATCCTTGGCTGTTATTCAGAAATGTCCGACTGGATGCCATCCCTACCTTGCAGGGTCACCCTTAGCCAGTGACAGCATCGTACAGGAGCAGCCTGGTTCCTTGGCTTCCAGGTGGGCAGCTCTGTGTGCCATTAATGGCCAACATTCTCCATGGGACCAGGCAGAGTCATCCCCTACATCCCCACCTTGTCTTTCTTCTCCCTAGCCCTTCCTTACATCCCTGAGCCCTTCACAGGTTTTATCTGAGAACATTTCCCCAGCAAAACCCTTGCATAGAACTGTAAGGGCGTAGTCTATCTGTGCCCGTGTACACACATGAGTATATTCAAAGAAGAGCATGTATGTACCCTAAGCTTTCAGGAGTTGATTTTTTTCACATGACAATATACTACAGACTCTGAAAATAAGTCTACTTAGTTTTGATGGCAGCAGGATTCTCTCTGGAATTGATCAATAGCCCAGCTAATGAAATTGAGTTCATTCATTCATTAAACAAATGGTTCCCAAAGATCCACTGCTTGCCAGGTGCTGCTTTAAGCCCTGGGGTTGTCTTTAACTTTTTTTCTCTTAGAAAAAAAAAACCGAAGTATTTTTAAAGCATATTCAAGCATTTGTGTAAGTGGTTTCAGAGGATAGATTCTTGGAGATGAAATCCTGGGTCAGAGAGAAACTGCATTTACAGTTTTAATGGGTCCTTTAAAAGGAAATGTTCCTGCTTGAACTGGAGCCAAGGCTCCTTGCTGTGGATCTGCCTTTCTCTTCCTGCTTTCCCCCCATGCTCTTCCCCTGGAGGCCAAGTGCATTCTGGGAAGCGCCATACATGCAGCTCTCTCCTTTCTTCCTGCTTCCTCTGCTACCTGGAGCGCAGGGGTTCCTCCCCAGTTTTCTCTTGGGGAATCCAGACCAGAACTGGACTGGGACAGTGGCAAAGGGAAGTCAAAAAGGAGATGGCTTCAATGGAGGACAGGGGACTCACAGAAAGCAAGTGACCCACACTGCGCTTGAAATGATTCCCAAAAGTTCATGTGTTGGAAACTGGTCCCTAATGTAGCCATGCTGGGTGGCTATTGGTTATGGCAACACTGCACTTAGAAATGGATTCATCCATCCGTGGGATAATGGATTAACAGATTATCACAGGAGTGGCTTTGTCATAACAGTAGCTTATTATCACAGAAGTACCTTTGTCACCACAGTAGCTTTCTTTGACGTGCTCCTCTGCCTCTCCATGCCTTCTACCATGTCATAATGCAGCAGAAGGCCCCAGCTGATACTGAGCAGACGCAGGAATTGGGCTTAGTCTCCAGAATCATAAGCTGTATACGTCTGCATCCCTTCAAACCTTTGACGTTTACTTATTAGCTTCATGTGTGTGCATGTGTACGTATGTGCCTGCCCGTGCATGGAGGGGAATGAGTTTTCTTCTTCCACCATGTGTATTCTGGGAATCAAGCTTAGGTCACCAGGCTTGGCCACAAGCGTCTTTGCCTGCTGAGCCATCTTACTGGCCTTGCGTTCCTGTTTATTTGTTTTAATTTTATAATCTTCACTATAAAATGTATAAATAAATAAGACACTCTATATAATTACCTGTTAAAGAAGCAGAAGCTAGGCTGAGTCATCTACTTCCCCAGACCTACACATGTCGAAACTCCTATCAACAATGTCTCCCTGGCTGTCTCGGAATCCTTTCAGAGTCAGCTCCCAAAGTAAGTGTAGCGTTTCTACCTGCAAACTTGCCTTCCCAGGCTCCCCTAGTCCATGCCCAGGGGATTGATGACTCTCACTTCCGCCCACTCTCCTTCCCTTTGTAAAGGGTGGGCTTTAGATCCCTCCATGCCATCTTTTCTTTCGCTTCCCTTTGTCACTATTCCAGTCCAGTCCTGGTCTAGACACCATTTTTAAGGGGCTTGCTGCCCCATAGGCAGCCCATTCCTCACTTACACAGTCATGTGAGAAGGTATTCAAAAGTCGCATGTCCACGTCCCTTATGGGCTCACACAACCCACCAAGCATTCAGAGCAGGGAAGCCAAGTGCATCCAAGACTAGTGCAGTCTGGCTCAGGCTATCCTACCTAGGAACCTCTTGGGTCTTTAAACACTTAGACTAACACCATCTACAAGCTGCATGTTTCCCCCAGCTAACTACCACAGCGCAGGCCATCCCAGACCCTTCCTATGCAGCCTTCCCAACTTCATGTAGCCTCTTCTCTTGGACCTTTGGGAAGTGCTTCCTTTTCTCTTGGGCAGCCATGGGCTCGGTGGCTGTAGGACATCAGAAGAGATGGATGTCCTTCTGAGAGGGGTACCGACCACATGTGGTGAGAATGGGAGAGGAAAAGGAGGAGAGCCACCTCGACCACCTTCCAGTTACCAGGCAGGTCACTCAGGTTCATCTCATCTAGCTTCAGGTTTTTCATCAATAAATTACAGCAGCAGAGAGTTCCCAAGACTCCCTCTGTGGAGACGTGAGAGTATTTGGAGAAAATTGGGCAGGCAGACCATTTTTCTGCACTCTTTGTTCTTTTCTTGACGGACTTCAGTCGGTTTGTATTTGCCCTCTTGAGTGCCCGTAGTGCTGTCTCATTGCACAGGAAGTTTAAGTGGGTGTGTAATAAGTGAAAGAGTGAGATCTTACTTTTATTTATTAGGAAAATGCATGCCATTCCTCAAGTAGCAAGGTCGTTTGATTTTACTGCTGTGGAGAATTGTTTTAACAAGAGTGATTGGGTCACTGTTAGCAACTGTGTTAGTTGGTAGACATTTTTGGAAAGTTTATTAATATGCACAGGAAACTTACATGCATTTAATTTTATTAAATTTCTGAAGAAATAATGAAAGATATAGACTAAAATTTAGTTTGGGAGCTGCCAGCTCAGCAGATAAGGTGTTTGCTGTCAAGCCTGCTGGCTTGAGTTCAATACCTGGTACCCTCATGGTATAAGGAGAGAACCAACTCCTGCAAGTTGTCTTCTGATTCGGTCCCTGCACAGGCACGTGCGCGCGCGCGCACACACACACACACACACACACACACACACAGTGTGAACAGCAAAATGTTTAGCTTTGCTAGGGCTGTTTATCATAGAAAAATTTGAAAACCACTTAAGTCCAATAATAAGGGATTGGTTAAATAAACACTAAAATTTAGAGTCAATGGAATTCTGGATAGCTATTAATTATTATTGGAGTATAGTTTTAAAAGATTTCTTTCATTTTTATTTATGAGTGTGTATAGGGATGCATGTGGTTGCCTGTAGAAGCTGTCAACTCCCCTGGAGCTGGAGTTACAGGTAGTGGTAAGTCACCTGATGTGTGTGCTGGGAACTGAATTGGGGTCCTCTGGAAGAGCAACAAGTACTCTTAACTGCTGAGCCATCTCTCCAATTCCTGAAGAGTGTGTGTGTGTGTGTGTGTGTGTGTGTGTGTGTGTGTGTGTGTGTACTTTTTTACTGGGACAGGGTTTCTCTGTGAATCCCTGACTGTCCTGCAACTCACTCTGTAGACCAGGCTGGCCTTGAACTCACAAAGTTACACCAGTCTCTGCCTCCTGAGTGCCAGGATTAAAGGTATGCACCAAAGGCATGCACACCATGCCTAGTGTGAAGGATATTTTTAATGTTGATGAAGGGAGTCATAACAAATAATTGAATAGAGTCAGGTCATTGAAAAGCATGTATTTTAAAGAGATATACTAGAATAAAAATGTATGCATATATCTAAAAAACACCTAGCAAGATCTTTCTATTTCAAGTGCCTCACCTTGGAACTCATCAGAAACACAGAACACAAGTTAGACATTACGTTCTGGTAATCCTAGCACTCAGGAGGACAGTGAGTTTGGGGCCAGCCTAGACTATATAGCAAAACTGTATTTGTGTGTTCATATATATATATATATGTGAAGGGGTGGGAGGGAAAAGAAGAGAAAGTGTCTGGGCTGCTAAAAATTTCATGTGATGCTCCTGCACTGTGTGAACTTGCATGAGGGACTGCAAGAAGTTTTCATCTCTCTTTCTCTTTTTTTTTTGAGACAGGGTTCTCTGTGTAGTTTTGGTGCCTGTCCTGAACCTCACTCTGTAGACCAGGCTGGCCTCGAACTCACAGAGATCCGCCTGACTCTGCCTCCTGAGCACTGGGATTAAAGGCATGTGCTACCACCGCCCAGCTTATGTCTCCTTTGGATTTATTTATTGGGGACAAATATATATTGTTGCCACAGCAAAGAAAAAAAGAGATGATATTCTCTGCAAAACATGCAGTGGATTTGTGATTATTGAAACCTTCTCGGCAGAGGACAGCAGGCGTGAGAGGGCCAGGCCCACTCAGGTGCTCAATGAAAGTCCTGCTCCCTGTTTGCATGCATTTTTAGTCCTACAAGGTAGCTCCTGGGTGACAGAGTGACATTTCCAGAACCACCACTGTTTTGGAAGGGCCTCTGCCTTTCCCCGGGCAGGACAAGTGGCAGATGGCCACAAGAGCTGGCCATAGCCAAGCTTCTAGCCTGGGCACAGAGAAGCTCTCTTTCCAGCCTTCCCACCCTTGCTGCTGCCCAGCCTTCGCATTAAGATTCAGGCTGGCTTGGCGGATTAGATCATTTTGCTTCCAGTAAGTGAGCTGGCTACTTATGCATTCTCCAGCATCCTCAGTGCCAGACACATTTCTCAATCCTCCTCTGCTGGTCAGCCAAGGCCAGGAACAGAGTGTTTCCACCTTCCTTACGTCAATCTGTCCGGCTGTAGCAGGTGGCTCTGTTGGAAGGCTACATCCTCAACTCTGGATGTCCAGAAGACTGTCTGCTTCCCTGTCCATTAACACCAGGCAGAAGCCCCACCCAGGGAACACAGCAACTGCCTCTGGGGTGCACCCTTTCAGACCATCCCCCTGTGTGCGTACATGGTAAGAGTGTGAACAGCAGCTGGGGGCTCTGAGTGGGCGTGTTTCCTGATGGTGGACCATGTTCTCTGAAGCTTCTGAAGTGACATTGTCATCACTTGAACAAAAGCACAGACCAGCCCTTGAGTGAGGAGGGGGTCTGGAAATTAAGTCTGCCTGACTTTGGCCTGAAAATACTTGCTCAGGGAGTGGAGTTGCCATGATCGGGGCTGACCTTGGTTCTTTAGTAGTTAGAATTCAGGGATAGAATTAGAGTGAGCGCCCCTGACAGGGGAGCGCTGGAACTACAGCCCGGAACCCAGACATGGGCTGTTTGGAGAATGAGTGACAGACTGCAGGCCTCTGTGAGGGCATGGTGTGGACAGCTGACCAGGCTGAGGTAAGCTTCGGAGAGCTCAGGTGCACACAGAGCTAGGCCTACTTCTTGAAAAGGAGGGTAGAAGAATAGCAGTGGATACAGGGTATCTTGCCTGGGGCTGAGAGGCAGGTCCAAGGAGGCACTGTGGTAAAAAAAAAAAAATGTGCTAGCTAAGTAAGGGATCCACTCGAGAGAGAGTCAAGGCTGCGGAGCCTCTCAGAATCTTTTCTCTAGTTCACCAAAACTCGAAATCCAGACAAGCTGTCTGTGTGTGAAGGGGAAATGCAATGTTGATCTATCCATACCGCACATGTAAACTAGAGGTCAAGGCGGCAAAAGAATGGTCTGGAAGGCGGGACAACTATGATGGTGTGGTTGGTCCTCAGGGCTGGCCACCAGAACCTGCTCCACGCCAGTAGCTGTTGGGATGCCAGTGAAGCGGGGTGGTTGGCAGGAGGATGGGGCTCCGTGGTACTTCCCTTTCCTTTCACTGAATCTCTTTTTCTTGTCGGGAAGCATCTGCAGGCTGCTCGATCTCAGTCACCCTGGGGCTCTAGACCCTCAGGTTTCTGGAGCTGCAGTGAGTGCTTCAGTGGTTTACTGAGAACTAGCTCCTCTCAGTCTCCAGGGCTGACACCTCCTGCAAGCCACCTGCAATCTGAGAGGAATGCTCTCCACCACTTGGATGCTAATTTTGTTTGTTTTCACACAAGGTCTCACTATGCAGCCCATTCTGTAGCCCACTGAGCTTCTTATATAGTCAAGGTTGGCCTTGAAGGCTTGATTCTCCTGCCTCAGCTTCTCAAGTGTTAGGAATTACAGATGTGTGCCTCCAAGCCCTTCTTGGATGCTCATGTGGAGCCACTTCTCTCCAGGAGGGTAAAAAGACCCGCTGGCTCCCAGTATCTGGTCCCCTGCGGCACCTCCCATCTTGAACTAGGTGCACCCATGATCCTTGAGCTCTGTAACTCACTGCTACAGCCAGGATCCTTGTCCACAGTCTGCCAATTCTCTGTTTCTAAAGGCCAAAGAATGCCAAGTTCGTGAGGTGGGAGTGCAGGCTGGTGAGAGAGCAAGAGGTGTGGCCCCAGAGTGCAGAACTCCAGTTGCAGGGCCTACCTTGAGCCTGGACATTGCCTCTATGGGGAGCCCAGCCTGTGACAGAGCCTGCATCAGGACCACTATGAGGAAGCCAGTTTCCCTGGTGATGTTCTCTGAGAGCCCAACCCTACCCACAGTCAGCTAGATACCTGACTGGGATGATGGCTGCCTTCAGTGGTCTTTGTCCTTGGGTCCTACACCTCGTGCAGAGTTGCCTTAGTTCTCATGCGCTAGCCCGAAGGCTGTGGTGACTGCCATTTGCTTTAAGGAGAAGTAAAACTGTCCCAGGCCAGGAGTCTCTGACCAGGCCTGAGTGTGCAGCTGGGCACTTCACTTGGTCAGCAGGCTTTGCATCCAGGACCACCACGGACTGAGATCCAGCCCTTCTCTGTGGGAGCATGAAGGTGACCTCAAATGGACACCTGTAAGCACCCGACACAAAAGGAAACCAAGGTCACTGCCTTGTTGCAGTGTCACATGCTGCCTGACCAGAGCACACAATGCTCCTGACCATGCGGCTGGGGTTGCCACCTCCGACAGCTGCATGACGTTTGTCCCTTCTGTGCTATCCAGAGTTCAGTGTGAGCGTTCCTGGCACCGTCTCCATGGCTGACACCATTGTCACTACCCCCACCTTGGAGCTTTTTTAACTTCTCACACCCTCCACCTGCAGGGTCTGGTGATATCATCGCTGATGTCACTAGTTGAGGAGAAATTGAAGAAGGTTTTCTTGTTCCCCTCCCTGCATCGGGCCAAATGCTCGGATGCCTGTCCTTTCCACTGCTTTCTCTGTAGGGCTGGTGGAAGCCTGGAAGAGAGCCAATAGGGAGCCTCCAAACCCCCAGTTGCCCCCAGTCTGAGGCCACAGGTGGACATTCCAAGTCTAGCCTCAGCAAAGGCAGCACCCGAGGCTTGGGACAGTGGGAATACAGGGAAAGAGCCTGCCCACCCCCTTTTCCATGTTGACAGATTTCTCTAAGGAGAGTTGGCTGTCACGTGCCATCCACATACATCTGTACCTCTGCAGGCAGATGTGACCTCCACTGTCCCCTTGTAGAACTCACAGCAGATTATGCATGGTGTGTCACGAGCACCAGCCAAACCACTAAGTGATGACATGTCCAGTTAGGTGACGTCATGTGAGTGAGATGCCCCCTCACAACCTTCTGTGTTTCTGTGAGTGTACAGCCTATAGAGACATAAAGCCACAAGGAATGCCAGAGGCATGCATGCTAATTACATTGTAAGGATGTGGGAAAGGAGGATTTGACTTTATCTATAAGGTCCGAGGTTTGGACAAAAAGATATTCATGTATTCAGGATGTAATTAAACTACAGCAAATTAAAAAGAAATATCACGAGGAAATGATTCTATTAATAAAAAGATGTTAGGCCTGAAGCCATGGCTCAGTGGTAAAGAGCACATGCCGCCCTTGTAGAGGACCCAAGCTCAGTTCCCAGTGCTCATTCTGGGTGGCTCACAATCCCCCATAACTGCAGCTCTGGAAGATCCATTGCTCTTCTGGCCTCTGTGGGCACTGCACTCACAAGCAACCCCCCACACATGCACAATTTAAAAGATATTAAACATAAATAAGTAACTAGAGTCCTGTACTACCAAAACTATATAGAAAGTCCAGAGACTTAAAAAAAATCAAATAAATAACTATAGAACTCTGGTAAAATGACTAGAAATATGATGACACTTACCAAAGTAGATCTTCACCATCACTGTTTATTGAGCTTGTAGTCTGAGAGCACAAAGGTGGCCTTTAACCTTCTGTCATGGCTGACCAGGAGGGGCCTCAGTGAGCAGAGGGGCTTCTGGCCCCACAGTGGGAGACAGATAAGGCTTTCGGTGGTGTCTCTGAGCAAAACAGACAGACAGACAGACAGACAGACAGACGAACAGGGCCAAGAAGGGGAGAGGTAGTCCCTAAAGACCCCAGAGATGAAGACTGATGCTGCCCACCTTCCTGTCCCGAAGACAGTGGTCCGGTCCTTGACCGAGAGCTAGCCTTGGCACTGTGGATGGGCCAGCACCCTGCTTCTCCTCGACCCATTGCACTCCCGTATATCTACAGAGGATGCAGACAGTTGCTCTATTGAAATCTCTCCTTCTCTCTGGCAGGAATTTAAGGATCTCTGCTTGTCTGCTGTCTCTGGACCACAACCTCCTTCGGGATGCCTGTCATAGCCGTTCTTCTAAGAGCTCTGTGGCCACGCAACCAGCCCTGTGTCACACACCCCAGCCCTTCACGTAAGGCAATAGACGCACAGGGAGAATCTACCAGATGAGAGGAGACTTGAGGCTGAGTGTGATGGATACAGCCTATTAGGCCTCTGCCATTGGATCCTTGGAAAGCCCAGGCTGTGGAGAGGAAAGCTGTGTCCTTCCTCCAGGGACCTGGAAATTACAGCTGGTGATAAACCTGCTGTTTATCCTAATTAGCAGCCTTAATACCTCATGCAAGCCATTAACAGGCTGGTGCATTGATACACATCTTTAGATGTAATTAGTAATGTTGTTAGCCTAATCCATAATCAATACCTGGGTAATTGCTTCCTAGGGTTTATATTTAGTCCTTGGGGTTGTGGCATTGTGAGCAACATCCATCTGCAGACATTCTAATGGACGTATGCAGGTTACTGACAGCCAAGCTCATCACGGAATCCCAGGAGTTGTGGCCTCTGGTCAGAAGGGGAGCATGGTGGGTCATAGAGTGGGTGTTGGCTTTCCAGCTACCTGGCCTTCAGGGGCTTGAGTGATCACGCTTCTGGCTCATCCAGAAATGGATTGCAGCTCTAGAACAAGAGGGACCACTTCAGAAACTAGATAAAAGGGTGACGCTAGGGCCTGGGAGACTCTGGACCTCAGGCATCATCCCTTTGGATATCACTTCCCTGGCAGAAGAATGTGAAGAGGGTACTGGGGATGACACCCAGACTAGAGATGCTGAGCCATTAGGCCATCCCATCACATTCTTCTATGTGCCTTCCCCTGTTGCCACTTAGGCTTGCCGGGAAGGCTGCAGTTGAGCCCTGTGTTTTCCTCTTTGACAGCGCTGGTGGCCCAAGGTCAGGCAAGAGTGACAGGAGAGGAGCCTGCGGACAGCTATCTTATGAATGGGCTCCCATCTGACTGTGATTGGAATTAATACCCAGCTTCCGCTTCCAGGAACGTCTCCAGCAAAGAGATCTGGGCTGAGAAGGTCTGGGCTGGAATGCTCTGAGGGCGAGCCATAAATCTCTCCCCAAAATGATGATGCATAAGCTAATTGCTCTGGAGGCACCGTGCTCACCCCTTGGAGCCAACATGTCATTCTGCATCCTCCCAGCTCTACCATTCTCTGGGAACAGGGCCAAAGAGGGGTGGATGGGCGTTGGCAAAGTCACCATGAAGGAAAACATTTTAATTCATTTAATTATGAGACTCTCAGAAACCCAGGCTCTGTTTCTCCTTGGGCTGGTTAAAGAAAATGAGAAGTGGCTTGTCCCCACCCCCACCTTCTCCTTAGCCAAAGAGGCTCTGAAAAGTGGGGGGTATGGGCAGCGTGGAGCTATGCACAGCCAGGAACGCTAGCCCAGACAATAAAATGCTAGCCCAACCAGTGCTGGCTTGCAAGACTTCTCCACGCAGTTCACATTGTTTTTCCTTTCCTTCCATATGAGGAGTCCCCAGGGATCTGCCGTTTGTGACATACTAAACTTTGTCTTTCTTCCTTTCCCAAGCGTACCCATGACATCAAGATTGTAACGTGTTCAACTTGTAGGTAATAAAAATCAGCCTTTCCAGATTAACCACAAGGTATCTCTTATCATCCAGTCCATCTGTCTTATAACAGACCCACAGGGTCCAGAGTCTGCATGCTGGGCTCCACTCTGGCTCCTGAGAATGTACACGGTAGCTAGCTCTCACTAGAAGCTTACAGCTCTTTAAAGAGATCACTGAGTGAAGAGAAATGTATCAAATGGTGGAAAGGAACATACACAAAATATCCCCCCAGTCAACACCTGGCCTGGGGCACTCAGCCCCAAGGGAGACAGACAGTGGCCTCCAGTCTTTACTGTGAGGAGCTGGAATCCGGTAGCTGAGAGTCTTGGGCATAAAATCCTCCAAACAGTGCCTCTTGCTCCTAGTGAGTAGGCCTTGGTGGCTGCGATGGCTAACAGACAGGAGGCTTCTGAAGGACTCTGCTACAGATGTGTAAGGCGGTGGGCACTGGTACCCTAAATCTGAATAGCAATGTCTTTCTTCGCACTTTACAGGGTAGCAGTGGAAGCCAGAGAGAGAGCAGTGCCAGGCAGGACAGAGCCCCGAGTGGCCTGCTTTTGTCCCCAAGCCCTAGAGGAGGTTGGGGCAGGCAGGAATTGGGACATTGCTAATCCGTGTATGAAGGACACAGTCTGTGCTTTCCAGGGAAGGAAGGATCTTGTCTCTGACTGCTAGCAGGGAGTTTCAGCAGCTTCCTCAGTTTCCCTGTTTCTCTGAGCCTCTTGACCAGCTTGGCCTCTGGCTCCATATGGGCCCTATCCCAGGACAGAGGCCCCACCAACCAGCTAGCTCCAGACAGGGCAGTGGGCTAAAGCGAGCAGTGGCCAAGGTGCTATAGCAAGCGATAGATGCATGTCCATGTGATCTTGCAGCAGCCCTTTACTGAGCCTGAGCAGCACTGACAGTACCCATCCTTCCCCCATGTCCCCGGCGGGGAAAACAGTAGTCACATAAACATACAAAACAGTTTCTGAGGATGCATGCTATGAAGAATATAAAACAAAAATTGGGAAACGCCAGTGAGTGGGGCTGACAAGGTGGAGGCAGCATGCTAGCCCAGCTGCCTGAGAGGGCGGCCTCTGTGCTGAGAAGTCAGATCTGCAAATAGATGTCTGGAGTAAAGGAGCAGCAGAGCAAAGGGCTGTGGCAGGAAGAAGCTTGGAGAGTTCTGGGCAGGAGGAGGATGGTATGGGACCGAATTGAGCGACCCAGGAAAATGCAATGGCCAGTGACACATACGGCCTTGGTTTAGGCCCCTTCTAAGTGCAGGAAAGCAGGGTTTGCATAGGGGTTAATGTGGGCGGTCCACTTAGGAGCAATGGCCTGAGATGGGGCCCTGGATGCTAGGCTGAAGAGGCAGGATCTCCTGGAGGAAACAGGCATTTCTCAGGACCGTGCCCACTGTTCTTGCTCATCTCTATGGCCTTGTCCTACTCAGGTGTCAACCTTTGAAGGTATGACCTTGTCTTCCCTAAGTGTCAACATCTATAGGGCTCACACCTGATCATATTCCACCCCCAAGGGAGAGAGGATACAGTGAATGACTGCTTAACAGAAATGGGGTTCCCTGTGGATGATGAAAATGTCCTGGAACTAGATAGTTGCATGATACAGTGAGTGTCCCAAATGCCATTGACCCCACACTTTAAAATATTTAAAACAGCAAAGTTTGGGTTACATGTATTTTTGTGACAATAGAAAATTAGTTCAGTGCCTTTTCACGAAAAATCATTCTAAAATTAGAAGGAAATTTCCTCAACTTTCAAGTGCTCTCTCTCTCTCTCTTTCTCTCTCTCTCTCTCTCTCTCTCTCTCTCTCTCTCTCTCTCTCTCTCTCTCTCACACACACACACACACACACACACACACACACACACACACACACCCTCTTATAGCTAACATTGAATTCAACGTTGGACTCACTCAGCAAAGACTAGATGAAAGGTCAGGAACATCAGGGACACCCACTCTTACCTCTCCCATTCAGCACTGTACTAGTAGTTCTGACTGTGCAACATGACACACACATAAAAGGAAATAAAAACCGTCACTGTTGGGAAGGGAAAATAAAATTGTCTCTATTGTAGATGGTTGCCGACATTAAAAATAAAATCTAAGAAGGGCTAGGGGCATAGCTTAGTCTACAAAGCACTTGCCATGCAAGCTTAAGGACCAAGCTTGGTCCCCAGAACCCACGTAAAAGGCTGTGCATGGTGGTACATGCTTTAATATAGGACTGGGGAAGTGGAGACAGGCAGATTCCTTGGGCTTGCTGGCCCCCAGCATATTCTAATCAGTAAGTCCCAGGCCAGTGACAGACCCTGTTTCAAAAACACAAGATGAGAGGCACCTGAGGAACAACACCCCAAATTGACCTCTGACCTTCACACAGAAGCACACACATACATATATGTACGAAATCCTAAGGAATCTGCAAAAAGTAGGCAAGTGAAAATAAAAAATACCTCTTGTAATGTATGAGTTCAACCAAGTAGGACACAAGATACACACACCAAGAGCTACAGAAAGGACACAAACTCATGGAGATTTAACATACTAACTACTCATACCTGAGTCACTGAGCAAATCATGAAGGAGAGTTAAAAAAAATCTGAGAATTGAATGACAGTGAAAATACAATATACTAAAATCTATGGGATACAGTGAAGACAGTCCTAAGAGGAAAGTCTGTAGTGCTAACTATCTGCATAAAAAATCCAAGAGTTCTCAAATTAATAACTTAATGATGCCCAGGAAGACCTTGGGAAAACAGCATCCCAAACCAGTGGATTGGAAGAGATTATCAAAACCAAGGCTGAAATTAATGACAAAATTTAAAAATACAAAGAACCAATGAAACAGAGCTGGTTCTTTGACAAGATAAACAACACTGATAAACCTTTTAGCCAAATTAACCAAAAGAAAGAGAAAAGACCCAAAATAATAAAATTAGACATGAAAAATCAGAGACTATAACAGATACCAATGAAATTCAGAAAATCATAAGGACATACTTTTAAAACCTCTACACCATTAAGTTTGAAAATCTAAAAGAAATGGATGAATTTCTAGATGCACACAGCATAACCAGAACGAAACCAATAGCTTAAAACATCCATAGCCAGCAACAATTGAAGCAATAATAAAAAGCTGTTCTTTAAAAATAAACCCAGGACCAGACAGATTCACTGCAAACTTCTCCCAGCAACTCGGGGAACAACCAGCATCAATATGACTCAGGTTATTGCACAAAATAGAAAAGAAGAAATAGTTTTCAAACTCTTTATGAATCTAGTATTACCCTGATATAGAAACCAAATAAAAAACAAGAAAGAAAGTTACAGGCTGGTCTCTCTGATGTACATAGATACAAAAACTCTCAATGAAAAATAGGCAAACTGAATCCTAAATTATATAAAAAAGATTATGACCAACTTAGTATCATTCTAGAAATGCAAGTGTGGTTCAATATATATATCTCCCATCACATGAACAGATTCAAATATAGAAATCATGATCATTTCATTATGCAGAAAAGGCCTTTCACAAAATCCAACAGACCTCCATGATAAAAGTCATGGATAGACTAAGAACAGAGAGAGCATACTTGAACATTAAAATCCTACCCATGACAAATCTATAGCCAATATCATGCTAAATAGATAAAACCTCATAGCATTCCACTAAGATCAGGAACAAGGGTGCTCTTTCTCTCTCTTCCTATCCAATAGAGTGCTTGAAGTCTTAGCTAGAGCTATAAGACAAGAGAAGGAAATAAAAGATACAGATGGGAAAAGAAATCAACCTGCCACTGTTTGTTGATGATACGATTCTGTGTGTAAGAGACACAAAATGCTCCACCAAAACTCTTAGACCTGATGATAAACTTTTTCAGCAAAGTGGCAGGATACAAAATTAACACACAAAAATCAGCAGCCTTCCTACATACCAATGACAAATGGACGGAGAAAGAAACTAGGGAAATAATATTGTTCACAATAGACTTAAAAAAATCCTGGAATAAACCTAACCAAGAAAATGAAAGACTTTCACAGTGAAACATTAAGCTAAAGAAAAAAAATAAATTGAGGAAGATACTTGAAAATAGGAAGACCTCCCATATTCATAGATTAGAATAAGCACTATTATGAAAAATGATCCCATGCACTCCTATCCCCTTGGTCTGTCTCAAATTTAGGGCCTCTATTTCTTTAATTGTTGTTACACACATTCCTAAATATATGCATACAACCAGTTCAGTCCATAATATGTTACTTGAATGTATATGATTTCAGGCATGGCTACATGGGATTAGATAACCCATTTGTGGTGTCTTTCCTAGGGAAGACTATTTCTCTCACTCTCAGCATTCCTCAGTGGATTGCAGCTCTTTGTCTAAGGTAGGGGTTTCTGGATATACTCCCTTCCATGTTAGCATGTCAATTAATGTCAACTGTGTTCGAGTCTTGTTTAGACAACAATTATGAAACTTAATAAGTGTAAGTTCTCTGACACTTCTAGGAGACACAATCTCACAGCAAACTTCTTGATCCTCTGGCTCTTACCATCTTTCTGCTCCCTCTTCTGCTATGATTCCTCTAGCTTCGGGGCAGAAGTTGTGTTGCTGATGTATCAGTTGGGGCTGGGTACCACATGGTCACTTGCTCTCTGCATTTTGATCAGTTGTAGTTTTCTGTAATGGTCTCTATCTGTTACAAGGGGACATATCTTTGATGAGGAGTGAGAACTATATTTGTGGGTACAAGGATAAATATTTTATTGTGGTTAGAAACTATGCTGGTTTAGTTAAGTGGGTTTTGTGGGCTCCCTTCTAATGTCTGTGACGTCACTAGCCCCAGGTGTTGGCTAGGTTTCCGGTACTCACCATAATCTCCTTCTTGTTGAATCAGCCAGAAGTCCAATTAGAGAGCTGTTGGTTACCACCAAGGCATACATGCCAATATTGCACTCTCAGGATATCATACGATGTTGGGCACTGTTTTAGTTCATGGGCATCATAACTGTGTGGGACTACTGGTT